GGGGTAAAAGAGACTTCATCTCCGCCTATTTACAGAAATGGAAATAACCAGACAGTGTAATTGTTACAATTTTTGAGATGTGGAAGAGAAGTTATAGGATTTTAGTGGAACGGAGGTAAATCTAGTCAATACTCCTGTTCCTCCCCAATGCAGTTAAATTCCCCCATCTATTAAACCTTGATGTTGCCGCTTGATTTGAATTATAATATTCCGCTCTCTTAAATTTACTGCCATTGGTAGAAGGTAATTTGGTAGAGTCCTTAACTGGGGCAGTTAATGTGGTCCGTTTTTTCATAATGCCGCAAAGTACACCACTTTAGTTCTTTTTCTTTCGCCCTTAGTTAAATCATGCTTTGGTCAAGTAAATTCTAATTTCGCATGTCTTATAAAAGAATAAATGTGTTATCATCTACTTCAGTGATTTTATGACTTTGAATGGAAAACGCGCGGTCAGAATGAGGTCATTTGCAGAAGAGTTTGCCTGCCGAACTGGCAAAGTGAAACCCTATCCCAGGCTACTACTTACTTCATTGTGAACCCGGAATTTCAAAGACTAACAGTTTCATGCAATGCTTTGCTTCGTTCCCTTCTACAATTACCTCTACCAACTCAGTTTAAACGTTTAATTTCTGTGTTTCAATAGGAAAGCTGAGCAGATCCCCCCAGGCTCAGTCTGGCAAATTCAATTCAATCCTATCTGAAATGCAAACTTCCGACCTTTTTAAGGGGTCATGTCGAAACCAAAAATGAATTATCGAGTGATTTGATGTGGGGATAGAATTTAAAATCTTGAATCTTACTTCATGACTTGATATGTGCTTGAAAAGTGAATATTAATTAGAAACAAAGGAGTTTATACCGACTCGAGTTGAAGGTCGTACGTAATGGTGGGGAATTACTTAAGGTTGTTTATGCCTTTTAAGTTCTTAGTTATCCTAACTCTTCGTTTACGCAATTGAACTAAAATGTAAACCATTGGTTTTTTGTGGTGTGTGGTACACAGACCTCGTTAGAGTTGAAGCACACTTGAGCAGTGTTGTTTAGGCTCTGAAAAAACAGTGTGAAGGAGCAAGAAGGGAATAAAGACTCATTTTGCATGTAGCTAAAATTCTATTCACCATGAAAATATGCTGCGAATACATGGAATAGTGTGTATTTACAACTAGCGCATCGCATCGTAAAGCTAACCCACCTTTGCGTAACGTGTTTTGTGGGTTCGGTCACTTTCCACGTACAATTTAATCTTGCTTCGGCACAATTACGATTTCAAAACCAAAGGTAAATATAAAGTTAAATTTTTAAACCCACTGTTAAGTCCCTATCCTACTGTCATTCAAGCTAGAACTTGATGCCTAGTATGAAGTGTTTATTCTAATTTCAGTGAAGTCTCGTCGGGTTGAAATGCGGTCCCACAATTATGTTAGAAAACACAATGATTTAAGGCCCAGTTGATGACCGATTAGTGGCAGCTCTAGATCTGCAGGACTAACAGGGAATATTTTATTTCTATCCCTGACCTTCTGTTGTAAATCCCTCTTGCCTCTTGTCAAAATGAAATTTGGCAAGCGTGATTTCGCTGCAGCAGTCATGCCATTACAAAAAGGTTTTTCCTACTGCTAACCACCACTCATTCAGACATTCACTTTTTCCTGATTTTTCTGTCTCTTGCATCCGTATTTTATGTGCATTTTGTAATCCATCTTACCAATGCTCACTGCCTTACCGGAGAAATTTGTTTTGCGGTGCCCCCTTGGGAGGACTGCCAACGAGCCCTAATTCTTTATGTTTCGTTGCATCCGTATTAAGTAGAAAAGCAGGATAAGTATTAATTTTTTCCTCAAGTCAACTGTAACAATGTCCGTTTCTTTTTGTTCTTGTTAAAGGAATAATTTTTCACATAATGTAGTGTTGCCAACTCAACTTTAATTTTTGATGACCACCCGTATTTTAATAAGTAATTTGATTTCATCGCATATAATTTGGTTTTATTTGAGTGGTATAAATGGAAGCTCCTGTATCTCCGTATCACTTAAGCGACTTTAATAGTTTAAAACGCCTAGTAATGCTCTTAATTTACGAAGTCTGACAAAGTCATTGCAGAGCCTGATTCTGACGCCCAACGGAGAGTGGCCAAGTGCAAATACGTTATCAAGTATGCGAACTTCACAATCCCAAGTAAAGCACATTTAACAACTTATTATTTCTTAAAACAGTGTAAAGTTCACATACACCTATAATAAATTTGAGAGGTTGTAGTTACAACGCCCTTAGCAGAATTACAAGATTAATTTGTCAGGTCAACAAAGCCCGAATAAAGTAAGATGTGTCTACCACACAAAGTCCATAAGAGTGTAACTTTGAAAAATTCTAATAGTTGACTTGGAAGTAAAATTCATAAGGGATAAAGTGAATTTCGGTTTCTACAGCTGAAGATCAACTCCTAGACTTCACAAGAAGCCAATAAAGATTTGGTTTTTGCAATTAATGTAATAGAAATAATAAGTAAAACTAAATCATTACTCTTTCTTTTTCTAACTTATATTTGCTCTTATTTAATTATGGAAGGTAAGGAGAGGAAAGTGGAGCCCAATCATCTGGTATCACATAAACAGTGTCCATTAATGTGAAACCGAAAATTTCGTGGAATTTATTTATTCAAGCTAAATTCTGTAATATTCGCAAGAGGGAGGAGAGTAATTCAGAAAGTAGGTTGAATTAGTAACAAACCTTGTCTTTAGAACGTCACTATGACTCAAAGATTAAATCCCACTAAAGTTGGTGTCGTTTTTATTAAGCACCGCTCACATTTTGGAACTAATGTTAACTCATGCTATTGTTTTATTAATTTTTAGAGCGACTTTGTTTTGTTAACCTGACTATTTACAAGTTTATAATTAAATTTTCCGCCTCAGAATGCTTTAAACTGTAGATAATTTCAACCTAAAAACACCTACTGCTTCGTCTGTCGCTACTCGTGGGTTTTTCTGGGAGGTGATGGTTTGAGGTATGCCGCTGCATAGTTTTAAACCTTGGAAAACCGGTCGGTTAACAGAAACTTTATGACTTTCGGCTACACGGTTGGTCATTAAGAAAAGCCCTTATATAGCCGCATATTACCACAAGGAGGCGAGACTATCATGTGTCATGGAGAAGGGATCGCATGCTATTCCAGACATTGTCATTTGAAGTTGCGAAAACGCTTTTTGTTTTATCATTCAGTTGTCCGGGGTACCTAACCCTACCGTCCTCATAATGAGGGGAATATTTTTCCCCACAGAATAAATAACAGCGGCCAGTTTTCAGAAAACATGAATGGAAAAAGATGCCATCAATTATGTCCAAATCGACCTCCTAACCTAGGTGTTGTGTGGTTTCAAATCTAGACAACGAAGGCAGCCGAGATGCCCTCTTTTTAATCAAGCTAATCAAATGGTCCTTCTATCGTATTCTTGTAAAATTATCTTAATTATTTTCTTTGACGTGGTGTTTTTGACTGATGGGGAGATTAAATGTGAATCAAGCAACTTTGGATAGAAGATCTGCATTTTAGGGATCGCTACAATATTACAGTTGATGTTAGTTTAGCATAACTTGGTAATTCTAAGTGTTAGATCAACTCCAATTATTAGATAGTAACAACAATAACTTTGTACAATCTATGTACATTCCTGCTTATTTTCAACTTTGTTTTTGCTTTTAAATAAAGTATTAAAAATTTGAGGCCTCAAAAAAACATTTTCTTCCCGCATTTAGCTTGACATTATTACTTAAAAAGAAACTTCCAGGATGTCATCTGAACTGTAAATCGGAAATATCAAAGCATTAACTATCGTTGGCAAGATTAATTATGTTTACTTACCAAGCCTTCTCATAATTTTTAACCAAAATTTCAAATCTGCTTGAAGTCAAAGGACTTAACAGATTGGCATAGTTAGTGAGTGTGTTTCTTAAAAAATGACTTGAGCCCATTAATTCAAAGACAATCCGGTTAATGTGGCCATAATTTAGCGTGAAGCAGCTGAGCCATGTACTATGTGCGGATAAGAGCTTAAATTTCTTTCAGAGTCCTGATAATACGTAACCTTGAAGTAACATAAGCTTCAGCAGTAGTCGTTGATCATGACTACTAAAATTTCACCTCTTTAGCAGTTGCACCTTCAAATGACGAGATTTAAGTGTATTTTAAAGAATAAATACTTTAGTGTACTTAAATTTTAGTATGTGGTTAAATTATAAGGAACTTCTAGCTATATGTTTTGGTAGAGTCATGTATTCCTTTCCTTAATACGTTTAAAGAATAGTATGCGAAGTTAGTGTCACTGTGACGCTCATAAGGTGTGTAGATTAATGACAAACTAACCTTTCAAACCAGTCCGTTTAAAGCACACAAATACTGTCCAGTCAGAGGAAAGATGTGACAGAGAAATAAATTAGGAGCATAGAACAATTTCTGAACACAAACACACGCACGCACAGCATTCTCAGGTGTATTTCATTCTTTCCCTCGCTCCCTCTCTCCCAAGCGCTCCCACTCTGAACTTGCTTGCAGGTCGGTTGTGGGTATTTTATGGCCTCAAGAGGGAGAAAAATCGTCACCGACTGAAGCAGATGTATGGCGGCATCCCTCCACCGATGGCGCAGATTTATGCTAGTCACAAGCACTTAAGGACGCTACTAACCGGTGGTCGGTTTAGCCCGAACCCACATTCATATAGCCCGAGTTCCTCGCTCACTTCCAGCAAAAGACCTTTCATTCCTTTTTATGGAAAAATCCTATGTTAATTCCTTTCTCTGTTAACTCAAAATTGAAAAGTGCACTGTCACGACAATTCTCACAAATGTGTTTGTTTGTTTGTTGAAAGCCAGTATTGTTCAATATAGTAACACAGTATGGTGGCTTTGAGATAGCTCTTCATATTAGAGACGCTAAGTTCTTCTAGAGCCACCGTAGCATGCATAACGGCAATATCACCACATAGTTGCCGTTTCTAAAAAGTGGTCTAAATTTCATCGGAAATCACGATAACGGCAGCAAAATCTGGGCCAGACAGGTGCTTGCATCCAATCCACACCGCTATCAATTCGGTGGAAATCAATGTCGTCTAGTTATCAATGATCAACAAGCCTAACAGAACAGGTGTTTTAGCTTTTTCTCATATCTGCGATTCTGTCGCTTCTTCATCTATTCAAGCATTTCCTACCCTATGCACAGGTGCCAAAGCTATCTTGGCAATGTTAGGTGTGCAAAGGTTCCATAAAATTCCAGGAACCTAGATTCAAAACATGTTGGTCTAGCTTTGTATCAGACTATTATTACCCATATTACTCGATCACTCACGTGAAAAACAATTCGGTTTTTACACCCTAGAGGGTGTTGAAAGCAAAATGTAATGATCGCTTGTTGAACTGGAAGACAGCTGCAGGGAGACAGGTAAACAACGGTCTAACTAATTGATTTTAAGGACACAGTTCAACCCAAAATCAGCTCCATTGATTGCCATCACAGACACATTTGGTGGCTCTGATAACTTTGATGAAAAATCCTCTAATTAGTGGTGTTTATCATCATGTCCACAGGGTTTTAGCTGCTAAAATGCAAGCTACTAATCGTTTTGTTTCCAAATGGCCACCTGCTCATACTATACTCGAACTGAGATAATAAGGCTAGGATACGGGAGAGAACTTCATCTGCTGTACTTTAGCATAAAAGGACATATCAATAAGTCATTGAAACTACTTTATGTGGGCTCTTTTGCGAGAAGAGTGGACGTAGAAGAGGCTAACTCTTCCTCTATTAGAATCATCTTTGCCGCAATCCAATGCCTTCCTACAAGAAATTTAAGTTGTCAGCCAACGTAGGAATAAAAGTAGCTTTACCGGCAGTAAATCTGCGACTGGGGGAACAGAGACATCGCCGACTCTTATCGCTGGAAAAATCAGACCTGTCGCCTCCATACCCAGACTACAATTTTGGATTGGTGCGAAGGAAAGTCGTTTGTCTACTTTTCTTGTTAATCTGTCTTGCTATAATGACAAAAGCACGCATGCAATGCAGCGACAGTCCATTCACTCAGCGGCAAATCTTTGTCTTCATTCTCGGCCTTCCTGATCACTTCGTGTGTTCTATTTGTGGGTGGGGAGAGAGCAATAATATTTGTGTGAACTGGGCATTACGCTATTTTGGAATCACTGAGAGGGCGGCAAACCAAATGAAACCTTGTTTAACTGTGCACAAAATAAAGGCGCCTCAAATTACACAGAGGTAGTCTGTGTAATTTGACTCGCTGCTTTTTAAATTTTTGCATTTCCGAGGTACAGATTTTGACATATAAGGTTTTTTGTTTCTTCTTATTCTCCCTTTAACCTGGAATGTCTTTCATTCGCCTCATCTTAATCTGCTCACGAAAGCGAAATTTAATGTGCTCTCAAACTTCCGCTTCTATGCATGTGCCTTTCGAAAATGACATTGTTTATCAGAAATAAAAATCATGTCAGATGGGGGGAATAAAGGCTTTTGTGTTTTTCATTTCCCATTTCTTTTCTAGAGGATTTTGGTTTATGAATGCCAGAACTGTAGATGAAGTGATACTTCAACCCAATGAGCCACCAGGTTTTGACCAGGTTACCTTCACTACTTCCCTTAATGTAACTGAAGTGCAAAATCTCACCTTAGCTTATTTTGGTATTTTTACCAGTTATTTTATGACTTATCAAAAGAACGAGTAGAAGTCTGCAGTTCTTAAATTTATCAGAGGAAAAGCATTCGAATCAAATAGTTCCTTCCTAGGAGAGATGCGCTTAGTTGGATTAATGGCAATGGTGATTATTTAAGTCTCATAGTAACGTCCCATGAACGTATAATCGCATAGAACTAAAATAGAAAATTAGCTAATTGTCAATATTATAACCCAATGCCAGGCAGGTGTTTCATTAAAAAATTGAAATTCAAATAACAAAACATCAAAACTTTGAACAGTTGCACGTCATTTGTAACGTGATTTAAATGTAAATACTGATCAAGGTGTATATGAAATGTTGTTTAGTCTATTTGTCAGTGTAGGATTTGGTGCTTGTCGTTTAAAACCCCTCAATCTCTGGTAATTGTTGATTGGAGAGAAGAATTTGTCTGATTTTGATACATAAGTAAAACATTTTTTGTGTTACACAGTTATGCGCCGTAATTTTCTAAGTTCTTGAAAAAATCTGTAAGTGTTGGCAATTTTGCGGAGGATAGAGGCTAAGGTATGTGAAAACCAACACAATATGACTTTCAGTTTTCATTGGGTTCTGATGCAAATCGATAAAAATTTTTTGAAATTATTTAACCTTCAGTAAAATATTTTTAAGCCAGTAATGATTAAATTTAATCGGAATCTTTTCCTGTAACTACTAAAACGGTATAAAGCATTATCTTTGCACAAAGTCTCGAAACGAAAACCCAAGTTTTCATATTTCATGTTAGTTAAATGAAGAGATCGCCCTGACTAGGAGTCGTAAATGGATTTCTAGCTGGTCAAGATGAAAAAAAGTAGCATGAACTATGCCATTTTTAAGAACTTGAAATAAGAACAAGGAAATTACTTAGCGTAAAGTTAACTCATTTACTCAGGATAGCACGTGAGAACCATCGTATCGGGGGGATTGCAGCTAAAACTCAATCACTAACCTACATTTGGACAAAACAATTCGACAAGTTTGAAACTCGCAAACTAAATAGTACTCTATAGAGAGGTGTGAGATGACGTTGTCTAATGTATGCATTGTGGCGTTTATCAAGTGCCATCATTTCAAGCAGCACTTCTATAAACATCGTCCACTTACCGTGACTTCTCATTCTAAATATCAACCCAGTACGTCATACAAAACTTGAAAAGAGTTTGCTTTTTGTTGATTGTCCCAATACAAACTTGGTTACTTTAACCCAATTGCGTAAATTTAGAAGACAGCAACTGCATCAACCGGTGTCTCTGATTGAATCCCAAGTGGCTGCAGGAGTATTGAGATTATAGTTTCAACTGTCAGAAATCATTCAATTACCTACCCCAACTGGTAGAAATCATTTGACTGCATGACGAAGTGGTGGATGGTTAACAATTTGACTGATGCTTCCAGTTTTGCATACAGAATGGAAATTAAGCTAAAGCGATGCCAGCTTATATGTTGCGCTTTCCCGTTTGTTGTATTGTTTGAGGTAGTTAAAATGGAAGAATTTGTAGAAGCAATTTAGCGCTCATGTTCCAAAATGAATGGCGTATTTTGAGTAGCATGGCATTATGAGGGATGTCTGATGTATCATAGATTGCATCACTTAATGCATAATTTTGGCTGCTCAGTGTGTCGAATTGTCCATATCAAACGCCTATCAGGCAGGACAGAGTTGTTTATGAGTTTTACAGAGTGACACATTTTAGTCGAGTTTAAGTTGCCTCTTTCTACTTGTACTTCATGTATGCAGTTGACTAAAAGGAGTCACGCCTCGAAAAATGACACCGATTTCCATTTCCGTGTTTTTTTGCGAATTTGACTAACCACCACTAGACGTTACACGTATGGCTTTGTAATCTGACCCACTGAGGGAAAGTGAAAAAGAGAAGTTGTACTATGTAAATAACCTCCATCTGCCACTAATTATAAGACCCGTCTGTCCGCTTGCCTTGTCGGTGTGCAGGCGCGCCGACCTGCCTTTCCTTTCCACTTCCCCTGCCCTGTGCTTGTCAATTCCACTCACCTGTGAGAGCAGAAGAGGAGGGAAGATAGGGGTAGAGAAGAAAGTGGTGATAATGGTTGATAATCGCCTAATCAGGAAGTCATTTTAGCTATTGACAGTCTTCTGATATTTTCACCTTTGTAGTCACATAGTCGTTATTTCTTCGATTTGAGAATATCGCACAGATTGTTTTGCAAGGCATTTAGGTAAAATTATCGCTGTCTTCGTTTTATTGACAGGGCAATGGATTTGCGCTAGAGGTTTTCCTTCCTGTTGAGAACTTTTTGATGCGACATATTTAACTGTGGGAAGCTATTTGGACCTAAAATTATAGCTAGAGAGTAGGGCTGTGAACACCAACCTACAAAACCTAATAGGAAACGGTAAATCAAACATTTATTTCGCTTACCTTCCCCTACAGTCGTTGCTGCCGTTGAATGCACAATCTTTCACTTCTGTCAATACAAAGAGAATAAAATAAGTTACTTTCCTTCAGTGAGCAAATCTGCCTCGTAAAATAGATTAGGAATTTCCTGTTTTTCTAGGAATATACGCATTAGAATGGTAAAGTACGCATCAAGCCCTTAGCATATGCTCATTTACTTATTTGGTTCTATCTGTAGTAACTTCGCAACTACACAGCTACTTAGAATTGCTTAAAGCAGATTCCCCGATGGTTCGAATAGTTTAGGAGTAAACTGTTCAACTTCCGCCTTAAAAAACTTCAGGTGACCAACTGCATAGGAGAGGAAATTAACAAAGTTGCCGTCTTGATTTTATGTGAACTACACATTCTTTTATAAGTTAAATCCGTTTCGTGTAAATAGGTAAACGAGCCTCTTGCCAAAAATGGGCGCCAAAACCACAATCAGGCCATAATCTAGGACAAAATATAGCTATGTTATGATACAGTAAGGATACTTTACAATACCAATAATAAACCCCTCAAACTTATTGGAGGCATTTCTTCCCTCAAGCTGGTAAAGGAAAACTATAGCAAGCTTTTTTTCGAAAATCCTACCGACCGTTTTTTGCGATGTCAGGATGGCCTGTATTTTGTGGTTAAGTAACAATAATTAGAAAACTCGAGAACCTTCTCTAGCCTAAACTTTCATTGATAGTCTCGTGACTGTCGGGAAGCCGGAGCATGATTTCCACCTTTTAATGGGGATGAAAGGGGAGGGAAGTAGATAAGGGAGTCCAAAATATCCTTTCAGGTTAATGCAATCCTGTGTGTGTACGTGTGAATGAACTCCCGTCCCACCTGTGTTGGTGCCTTTGTGCGTTTTCGACTAAAAAAGTGGTTTAAACAACTCATGTGCATGTGCAAACCTTTTCGAAGTCTATTTAATTTCACGAATGTCGCCTTTTATCACTATTTACACCATTTATTTGTTTACTTGGGTTATGGACTGATTTAGGGAATTTCCTTCAGCGATGAACCCCCTCATAAACAACGCTAGCCAAGTCACAGCTTTAGTAGGAACTTCAGTGTCTAATTTTATAAACTGGTGATTAGTCGTTCCTTGCTAGCACTATGATTACTTGCAGGTAGAAACTTGATGTCAATAGATGTTCATATTCACGTTCGAAACACTTGTTTATTCACTACTAAATCCAGGAGAGTAATTTCTGCTAAAGTTCAAGTGGATGAAGATAAATATTTCAAAATCCAGATTGTTATTCACTGTGTAAACTGCAGTGAGATTTTCCGCTGTAACCCGCGTACCTACCCACCCAGTTAGCCAACTTTCAGAGTGAACCCGTTGGTTGCACTTTTACAGGGTGTACTGCACATGTACCCTTTTGAATGAAGCGTGCATGCCTCATTTAACAGCACATTGACAAGTTCTGTAACTAAAAGTTGTGCATTTGGCTTTCCAGGCCTAAGGCAACACCACGGAGTCCTCTAGGGTGGGTGGATAAGTGTTTAAATAGATCATCACGTCTTCAGATGTACTTTTAAATCGGTCGTAGTGACTAAGGTACTCACTAACACACGTGATGCCGAATTATATTGGCACCTGTTATAAGAGGCCTTTAAATAAGAGCGCCTTTTCGAAATACCGGTGGCCCTGTTAACAAGTGACAGCTGATTCCCCATTTTGACTTTATTTTGCACAAAGTTTTGATTCTGAGGCTATCACGAGAAGCATGGGGTTCTGCATCAATTTGGTAGAACTTTTTCTCTCCTCTCCTTTTCTTTCCCTTCCTTGTATGTTAGGCAGCATTGGCTGTCTCGACAAGTTTTTTGGACTCGTAATGGGAGAAATGATTGCCATACTGCCAAATAGTTGGAGTTTTCTGCTCAGTCCTTTTTCATTCATGAAATTGGCCAGCTAGCTAAATGACAGTCTTGTGGGTTAAATCCAGAGTCGGCCGCTTGGCTACTAATCGAACCAGAAGTCATTCAATAATTACTTTTTTATTTTGTGTAGACTCTTTGCGGCATTTTGGCAAATCACTTCCGGCCAAGAGGTACATCAGCTTTACTGATAGAATATTTTAAACCGTAAAGTTTGGTTGGTGAAAAATTGGCTAAAAGTAATACAATAAATTGGCCACCGGACAATCATAAAGAAATTTACGTTCGAAAAAGCGGAGCTTTACAGCTAGGCAACAATCGAGCCTTTCTGTGTTTAGGTGTGAACCTCATTCACGGGAACTTGAGGCAGTCACTCTTGTACTTATAGGGAAAATAATGTATGTTGCCTATTATATGAGCAAAAGAGCGATTAACCCTGCAAGCGGGATAATAAATTAAAGTGCAAATAATATAATTACTAATTTTATAATTTTGCAAGCCATTGAAAGAGGATCTATGTGAAGACAGATGGTTGGATTTGTTCATTCATTCGCTCTAAGTATTCGCGCCGTATTTTCAGCTTAACAATCTCTAAAATCTATTTCTTCTTTATGTTTTTTGTACGTTCTCCGCACGCAATTGTTTTCCACAGATGTTTGATACAAATCAGTTGCAAGGCTGACTACCCACGATTTGCACACACGGCCAGACCATTTCCTAAAAAGGTGTCGCTTGATTTTTTCTTCGGTTAGATACTACTAGGTCACTTTTCCAAGAGAAATTTTTGTCTTTAATTTCGGTAACATCTTTAAGGTATCGTCGTGCTCCGCCACAACGAAGAGGAAAGACCAAAGTCCGCTGAAGTAGCAGTAACCTCGAGTTACTACGGCTACGTGGAACACACGTGTATGTGCCTCACGGTACGATTAAACACACTTGAAGTCTGTCTCTTGATTACATTATTCAGAATTCTTTTTCGTTCTGGAACGGTCTCTCCTTGATTGCCCTTCCCCTATACTCAAAAATAAATTGATTTTTCTATTAATTTCATTATCTGACAGCTAGTCTAGGCATAACTTTGGTGCAGTTTCGTCCGATTTTCATAATTTTATCTTATGCCTTCTTTTTATATTAACCAAATGATCTTTTCCTATTTAGTGGTTTTTCGGGATTTAAAACTGGGCAAATTGAAAGAATTCAAAAATGCCACTACTAGGGTCTGGCTGAAAATTTTGTCGACGAAATTTTGACAAAATTTTCGTTTAAATGGATTTGTCATGAAAATATTCAACGAAACTTACGGACAATGCAGTAAAGTTATAAAAGACCAACTTTTCAAAGAATGAATGACTGTTTTTTTGCACCCGAGCAAATTATTCTTACATCATCTTTGACTTTGAAAGCATTTTCTTTCCGTTCAAAACAATAAACTACTTTTAAAAGCAGTTGAGCGAAAATTTGACACTTGATAAATTTGCAGTAGTTTCGCTACTACCTTTCGTAACCGGCTGTAAAGCAAGAAACTTGTTCTAACTCAATTTAATCATAGTATACCTTATTTTAAACTACTTCCATAAAATACATCATAGAGCAGACTTTTAGACTCCATTCTATGACTCATTACCCGAATTTTTTACGAACTGTGGATATAGCCATAAATCAACCGGAACTTCAAACTCCAAAGAAAGTGCAAGCTACAATTTCCTTAAATTTTGTGCCAACTTGTTTTGGTGCAGTCCTGAACAGATGAAGAAATATACATTTGTGATCAGTAGAGGAGGGGTCGTTAAACTTTAACTTGTTTTAACTATAACTTAGAACAATATTTGTCCTTCACGAATGCAAAGGAGTGGAATTTGATTTTAGAGGAAGAAGAGTATTTAATTTAAAAGTAGAAATACACGCAACGAATGTGGCTTGACGTTCTTTGAAATGGGCTTTTCTTTAAATCCGTTTGTCTTCTACTCCAATGATGTGAACGACAGTTGTGCTTTCTTTATGCAACGTGTCCCAGCCCCTATATTGGAAAGAGGAAACTACCCACCTACCCTTACAGCAAATCAGTTCTTCAATTTGATGTTTCATCTTTTCTGTGTGAGGCAAAATTTACCAGCAGTGACCGAATTAAAGTAAGGATTTTACTTTATGCATCTAAGTCTTTATCCCAGTTTTAGGTTTTTAAAGAATTTTTTATGAAAGGAAAATTTGAAGCAATTCGTTTCATAAACTTCCTCTACTATTTTTTGAAGGAAATCCTTGAAACAGATGTAATTCTCCACTCTGACTAGTATCACGTGCGAAAGTAGGTTATGTGTAGAACTGCAGAATCCTAATTTGTTTTGACAGTATCTCTGATATGATACATTTTTTGATTCCGTTTTGTGAAACTACGATTTTTTTCCTATTTTTATTTTTGTATTGATGAACGGAATTTCTACCACCAGAAATTTGATAAACATGTTTAAGCACTACCAAAATGGGTAAAAAAGGTGCTGTATAATACATAGAGTATCCCATGGGACAGATTGCCAGAAATCGCTCAGATGAAGCGGTAGTGCATGTCCAAGTCGTTGCCACTCGATAAGGGGCGGCAAAATACACATGACCATCGCACTCCATAGCTCTTCATACAAAAACAGCTTTACAATACAATACACTTTTTAGAAAATTGTAGTTTAAAGGATTTTGTTTGCTGTAGGGATTCAAGAGTGAAGTGTGGTAGGGTAATCATTCGTAATTAATCCAGTTTTTGCATTAATTGCTGAATCTCAATAGGTATGGGTGTTTTGTGCGGCTGTGTGTAATCAGTGGATTGATGTAGTGGGAAAATACCACAAGCACTTTACAGAGGTCTCAAAAAAGCCTCTGATACCTGAGTTGACTAGTGAACTAGCCTCCCATTGGAAATCTAGCAACCTGAAGGTAAATCAGGTCAATTCACTATAGCAAAAGTTAGTCTAGACACCAACAATTGTTTGTTAAGCGGGATTTACTGCCAAATCCCTTATCAGTGTTTGGACTTCATCACTAGCCTTGAAAATTCGAAAACTAGAAGCATACATTTAGCCCCCTCAATACTTCCTATTCCTTAATTTTCGCTATTTTACATGACAAACCTCTCCAATCAAATTTACTCTACTCTAAATAAGCTAGATGAGTGAAGAACTGTAGAATACCTGCACTAGCCTAACGTGAGAATAGATCTCCCTGCTTTTATGCATCGGGAGGTTGAGAGAGCCCTTTTAATTATTATTAATGGAAGCATTTTAAGACTGTTCCTTTGGCGACAGAACCAGTGCATTCAAAGTGGTATTTCGACACATGCATTGATAATACCCTCCTGAGACAATTATAAAATGCCACCAAGGACCCTGAGCTTGGCCTTGGGACTTGCCTTTAGTACTCTGCATATTTGCATTGCTGACACGGATATAGACACGGATATATAGTCCAGCATCACCTCCCAAATAATATGCATGCCGATTTTTTTCGATACAAGCAAAGAATTTATTAGACGTCTATTGAGTCATGCAATCAGATGGTTAATAAGATTTAGCCATATCGGTTCTTTGTCCCATTTAACTCCTCGTTCTGTTTTCATCTCTTCCTCTCCGCTTAGAGCATGTGATTAAGAGGGGGACGGAAATTGGGGATGCTGCGCCTGTAGAGGTACAGAAATGTCCCCTACTTTAAGTCATTCACCATAAATGAGGTCACGTGCTTTGTGCGATGATGCATATGCGTGCTTCCCACGTGTGGGCAGGCACGCTTAAAAGAACCCTACCTCTCTCCCACTCCGCCTAGAGGTACACCAGCGATGACTAGCAAGTTATGTGTCACTTTCTGACTCCCCTCTCCCTCTGTCGCTCTCCCCCTTCCCTGCCCCTTGGTGCATGAGTATCTGCAGCTGCTTATTCAGTAGACATTAGACGCACAGGGCTAGGCTTGCTTATAGTGGAACACCCTGTCTCCTCTTTCTCCCTCCCTCACGCCACCTCTCAATTTTATCCAACCACCTGTCCCCATATTTGCGTACACAGCTCAACGTCTTAGCGATAATGCTATCCGACTGGTAAGTAAAGCTGCCTCGTTTATATACTGGGGCTAGGAGGTGACTGGGAGTCAATCATTTCAATTAACGCGCCTCTAGATTAAGAAAAGTTACATCTCTTTCCTATACTGATCTCACGACCAAGAGAAGAAGGATAGGTTTTGTTCACTGCCTGGAGGTGCCATTGGTTGTCGCGACCAATAAATACATGTGAATCTGTTGTTTGCCTTTTAAAATTCACTCTTTATTGGATTTGGGTTTCATTCATAGGTTAGCAAAATATAATATTAATAAATGTTCGGGAAGCAAATTACAGTTCTCCTTCTTGCTTTGAGAAAATCTTTGATCCTAAACTAGGAAACAAACTAGCATTGTCGGCCAGTGAAGGATTTAAACGTATGTCTTCCTTAGGTGACAAGCATTACTATTGGTTAATCTTGTTTGCCATCTAACACCAAAGGTAAGAATAATTGGAATTGATGAAGCCGATAATATGACTTAACAGGGTTTCAGTCCATCTAACCACTTCTTTCATTGACTTTATCAGCCTCAATCTTGTGCAGGGTTAAGGGTGTTTTTCCTCGAAAGCAATCTCTATAAACAGCGGATCTGTCTTGAGGGTTTTGCACGTGGTTGAAAAAATTAATATATCATCTAAACTTCAAGCATTTGAATGGATTCCAGATAAAGCTAAATGCTTTAGAACAAAATACTAAGTTATTGCTCAATTGCTGCTGCCACTCCATAATGATCAGCAACCTGATTGAAATATATTTTGTGAATATGGTGGAGCGCCTCGAGACTTCTCTAAAGATGAAAGAAGCCATAATACATGGACAGAATATGCATTGTAGGGCTTGGGGCTACTGGTATGACCCCGAGGCCGAGCCGCCCGGTGAAGGCATAATAGCGGACCCCCTAAGCGGCCCTTTACCAAAATCGAGAGTTAAACAAACAATTGGGACATGACAATGGTTACCATTTTTAATTAATGTGCAATTGATTTTCCATTATTTCTAAATCATAATAATAAATGGGATATTAAACAACCTATTTGTGTAAAGGTGAGTGTCAAGTCATTTAATTACCTTACCAATGTCTTATCGATTTAATTCTTTACCAAAAATATGATAGAAGATATCCAGATGTATAGTGATATGCAAATTCCTATCACTTTTAACTTCACACTTGAGTGAGCAATTTCTTATTCATTTAGGAGTCCATATCTGTAATCGGCGAATAATAATGGCAGTGTGAGAAAATTTTGCACCTGTTTTTTACCGAACCCCAGAAAAGATAGCAGGAGTTGGGCTAGAAATAAGTCTACATGAACAATTAATAATAGCACCGAGATTCCCTACCTACAACAGGTTTGAGCATTAGAAGTTATCTGTACTACTTCAGATTCGCCATCATTCAAGGCAGTGTAACAACGCGTCACCTGTTGTGTAAATAGAATACCATTGGTGACTTTCTTCACGTAAATCACAACATGCTTAGACGTAATATGACTGCCACGTCAGAATAGTGCGGAGTGAAGTTAAAGGTGCTGGTAAAAAGGCTTTCAGTGTGTGCATTTCTGTGCTACAACTTTTCATCGGTGAGTTAAAGCAGGTCCACTCTGTTTCAGTCCGAATGCTATACATTCCACTGACTCAGTCGAAATCGGTGTATGCATATAGTGCATAAAACAGTGATTTATCAGTGCGAAATTCATATGCACAGGCCAGTCATATGTGGCTTACCAGATGCCAGTGTTCTCGCATGTTCACTAAAGTGTTTTGCCTAAAAGGAGACCAAAGTAGCCACTCTCTCATACGTACGAAATTTCAAAGAGTGAGCCCACACCAAGCTCTTTTACAGTTTGGAATGTAAATTTAAACGGTGAATCCTTTAAAATTCATTCACCTTAAAACTCACTCCTTTCTGAAACCTATCTCATTCCTTCTGCCGAAGCTATATGGGTAAATAAGGGTGTAATGCATTCCATACGATTAACAAAATAGTGTTAAATTTACATTAATGTCGATAAACTTTGAGCTGTCTACATTAACAGCATCAAGCGCTGATAGCAGCAATAGTGGCATCAGTTAAAACCACAACCACAACGTCCGAGGGGGGTTCTCATTTACACAGGAGAGCCTTCTTTGTTTGACGGGTGGGTAGATGTCGTTCTTTTAGCTATCAATTAGATTCCATATACCTCTTGACATTTTCGTTTACTGCCTCCTGCTGCGCCCACAGTCGCGTTCAAAACACCCGCCATCTACTTCTCGTGGTTTCCCACCCCCTGGACACAGGCAAGTTGTAGGGAGTCTTTATTGCCGTTTTACTAGCAGCAAGAAATTGTAGTTGGGTCAACCCCAAATTTTATGAGGTCATAAATGCCTCATTTTACCATCTCTTCCTGAATTAAGGCGTATCCAAATCGCAGCCTAAAAATCTGCGCCTTCAACTGTCACTAAATAAAATTGCATTTCAATTGGGTTAGTGATCAACGCACAAGGATTATAAGGCGTTCAAGTGGATGTGGATTAATATCCCATTTCCCATAATTGAGTTGGGAATTTATCAACTTGATCAAGCTTCATCAATAAAAAACGCACTCGCGACTATTAAGGAGGCTCATAAAACTAGACAATTGATTTGTGCGGTCGTAAAGACTCCTGTGAGAGGTGACAGTTATTTTAGGACTAGGCTCCTCAATGGAATTTAATGTGTCTCCGCATAACCCTCACCGCATTTCCACATTAGCGCTGACTCATTTATTCAGTCTAGAACTGGCAAAACTCAGTGATTTGGGGGTTAAATTAACAAAGGCTTAGTTCCCACTAGACCACTCCCATTCGAAAATGGGATCGGAGTTGCGCATATTTTCTCTGTTAACATCCAGAATGCACTTGATCATCAAATTTCTGTAATAGTCCATTATTTCACCTCTATCTATGAATGAATGTGATCTGTGCGTTGGATAATTATGAGCCCATCGAAAAATTTTATGGAGGTCTGGAATGATTTGCCATTATTACGGAGTGTTCACATAATTTGTAATTCTTTTACCTAATAAAACTCCAATTTCCTTAATAAGATAGAGAATATGGGTTCAGTTCATCGATTGTGTAAGTCGACCATGTTCTTGGTAATTTGTACGCATATTTCACAAATCTTTTTTCTTTCGAATGAGGGTTCCGATTATTGAAATATCATAGGACTAGCAGGTTACCACCTGTCCAAACGTTAACCCCATGTTGGTGTTATGTGATTGGAGATGCCGCTAGTTAAACAATTTGATGGAATTCTGTGGTTATTGCACTCTCATTTTATGTGACTTATATTCGTAATAAAATATTGAATAACCGCTAGCATAGTGTGAAGCACATGCGTGTGTATGCATATGACTTCAATTTTCAGAACCTTGCCACTATTGAACACATCCACAATGTAAACTAACCTACCTTCCTCCCCCTTTTTTCAATTTACAAGTTTAAAACCCATTTACCATCACATAAAAAAGAGTTCAGAAAAATTTAAAATGATTTCTTCTTTAATGTCGCATTGGGTCGCTTTAATCGTTTTTACTTCGCACTCGTTCGCTTACCCGGGCTCCCGAGTCCCTCCCATCAGGTACTATGTTCAAATGGCAATATTGACGCCACAAATTAGGTTGCTATGGTTCAAGATGCGTTGCTAGGCTTGTACGTATGCGCGAATGCACACATGCACACATGGTGTATTCGTTTCCTAAAAGACAAAATTCAGCATTGCAGAGGCCTAAATTGCTTTCATGTTTGCAATGCGCTTAACCAGAAAAAGAGAGAGAGGGAGCCGAGATCAGATTTCCACTAATGAGATGGGTCCATTCTAATAGGAGTGCTGGAGGTTGGATTATTTGCTCGCTTTACCAAGGCTGGTAGCGCCTCCTAGCTTAGCGTTCTTTGATAGTCGTAAAAATATGCTCGTTTCTCTCTCAAGGTTTTGGTGCAAAAACACCTTGTAAGTCGAGCGTCACTCAAATTTGCTTTTGTGGCGTTGGAAGTGAACACGCACAAACATTCACGTAGCTCATCATAAACACGGGGAAGTCTTTCAACGGCAACCCTCATTGTGATGTTTCATGTGTTAGCCTTATTTGCATTATTGAGCCGAGGTAATTCACATTTCACAGTGAACTGAAACCGTCAGCTGAGGGCTAATAATTTCCATAATACGTCAACCATTTCCCCATAATCAAGTCCTTTTCCGCGAGATACATCATCACATTTTAAGGACCTCTTTAACCTCTGCTGGTAGATAAATTATTGATCGAGTCATTCTTCACTTAAAACGTCCCGAAACGTTGTCATTCAGTCTTCGGAAAAAGCATAAATTATTTATGTAATATGATATTTCGAATAATAGCTCAAACCTTTTGCAAGAATATTAGCATAACAATGAGTAAAAATAAAAGTGCCAAGTTATGAAGTGAATGAAACGATAAGAAAATTGTTCATTGTTCGATTGGTTCAAATTCTAGGGAATAAGGGCTTACAGAGAGCAGTCGAGTTGGGTGAGAGGTTAGCTGAATCGGTCGCTAAACTGTGCCCAAGTGGAATTCCAACAGAATTTGCATATCAACATAAGCTAACTTTAATTCAGCGCAAAAATTGACAATGCGTAAGCGTGTTCGTGTGAACTTGCTCTTAAACGACTTTGTGGCGGGTGGAGAATCCAGTGCATATTTTTAAGTGTTTCCACGTGATTCTATCATACGTTGTCGTAACTCCTCTGATGCAGAAATTTCTAGAAACTCTCGACAGATTCATATAATGACGTGTAGGAGGAATTGACACTAAATGATTGCCTAGCTCTCTTTGCTCATTTAAGTGGCAGAGAAGGAGCTAAAAGTGATTTTGTTCAGTGGAGGAGGCAGGAGAGCCCTAAACTGATCGATGGTCAGTCGTGAAGAAGCAGAGTTGTCTCCTTTCGGCAACCCCTCATTGTTCCATCTGCTCCTGTTCAAGTGTGTGATCGGTGCGTTGCATATGTAGGGTGGAAGGCGTGGGATGACAGCAGAGGGAAATGCCATAAATACTGTCTGAGTGAAAACTACAAAAAGTCAGGAGTTCCAGGCAAATGCATGGGAGGGTGTGCATACACATAGGTTAGGTTGTCGGTGTTTGATATTTGTCAGGTGCGTGCACGCATTGGGGCACACACCCAGCCGAAAATCCACATATTTTGTCATAAAAAGACAAGACCCTGTGCCATTCCGATTGTTACAGTGATTGATTTGTAGCGAAGTCGGTTTAGCCCCCGTTAGGAGGTCTATGCCGATAGTGCGCGGCTTAGGTTCAGGGTCAACTGCGCCATTCAAAGCCTTTCGAATCTATCTGTACTGCTGGATGAAACAAAATTTCAATTGGCTTATTTCTTGCCTGAATATATGGCTGATAGATTTGACGTATGCAATGCCAAGCTGACGCGACTATTAGCGCAGATTACAGACGCATTCCTTGGTCTAAATGGCAAAATACGCCCCACTAATTGGGCAAATTATGAGCCAAGATGGCCATTAGCATCCAATCACAATGCATCTAGATGAAATCCGTTGTACACAATTTGCTCCCGCTGTTCAATCAATCTGGTCCAGCCGAAGGTTAGGCCCGAGGATTTGAGAATTTGCTTTCCTGTGCATTAATTTGGAATTTCAGTTATGGAACTCGCCTTCCAGACACCAATGATATTTGCTGTTCCATTTGGTACATAAAATCATGGTGGATAAATACTCATCTGAGTGCTATGCAAAATTCATTATCGGCTCCGCTTTTACGTTGCTCCCGATGCGGCTCATTTGATACCTTCTCTGGCCTATATTTCTTAAGTAAACATTACGGTAATTATTAAGTAATGGAGCGGACCATATCCACTTCAATCATGTGCTTTGCTGGCCCCATTGACTGATACTGTCATAATTCGTTTTAGCCAAGTGCATCTCAAGAGCCATTAAGTGTCCTAACAACTGGAGGATCTCACAGGACATTTGTGGGATCAAATCACTGATTGTTTTACCAGATAGTGCCGACTGGTGGCTTTATCGGAGATAGCCTTACCAGCAGATGCTTGCTACAAACATACCATGCTTTAACACTAATAGTCAAACTTGCCGGTGAATGACTCTAGCAACAGAGATGTATTTTTTAAGTAGATGAATTTCATTTATCGTATGCAAGACTGAATCAAGACTCTGATGAAGAAAATCAAGTGAGGCTGTGGCTGTGTGTTTTGCTCCTGCGCGGAACTTTTTTGGTGCATCTGACCATATCCGTTTGCATACCCATCTGTGTATTTGTGTGTTTAAATGTTTACCGTCGGGCTGTCTGCAGGTGGGTTCAGAACACGCGCTACATGTATTGTGTCCTGTCATAATCACCGCTCAAATTCTCAACCTTAAATTGGTGTGTTTTTTTTCAACAAACCATCTTTCCTTACGAATCCTGGCGGGTAAAGTCCAAAGTCTTACTTTTAAAAATGCCTTTCAGACTAGTTTTTAAATTATGCTCATACAAAAATGCAACATATATTCTGCTACTAATCCTCTAATCAATTTAAAAACAAGAGGATTTTCATCATTTAAATGTATTTTCGCCATAAATTGCGGTAATCGTAAAAGAGGGTTCATATGAGGGAAGGCTACTCGATTTGCGGTGCCGTTGAATGAAGAGCGTAATTTCCCAAGCCATTTTGAATTGGATGGTCCCACAAAAATGTGATATTTATAGTTGAATTCGCTCCCCTGCAACTGCAACAGGGCTACGTCCAGTCCTCTGAGGTAATACCTAAATTTAAAGTCTGTGCTGTCGTACGATTTGTGAGAAAGCACCAAAAAATTTCAATTGACAACCCCCTTCAATCTCGTGACAATCAGCCACGGATGGATGAGAATAATCATGTGAAGGGCAAGGCTATATAGCAACAAAGAACACTGTGGTTTACAAAATGGTCTAGGCCATAAATACATGTGCGCACGGTCGATAAACGACTGTTGTATTGCATGTGATTCTACCAACTGTCCACTACACGGGTTATCGATTTTGCAGTACTCGAAATTGTAAAAATTGATACGAGTTCTAGCAACTACACTGCACTCTTTGTCTTAATGGACTGGCTGGATGACATGCAAATGAATGTAGTTGTAAGACTCGCCTAATCTAGTGAATGTACAAGTTGGTTTACCATGTGAGAGTTGAAACAGTTTTCATCCATCATATTGGTCTTTTGACCACCTAGGCGTGACGACTTCGCACCGCACCAGAAGGTACGTTTATGCTCGTGTCCCCATGTTACTATGACGACCTTGCACGCTCAAATGAACATGGATAACAATTAAATTGTTAAGGTGATGGTGAGTAAAGAACATTTATGCCACCTTCTCCCAATGTTGCCTTAATAACTCTTGATGGTGGAATATTCGATTGTGCATTCTGTTTTTGTAAGGTGATAAGTAACACATGGAGGACTATTCTTCCTTCCGCGCCTTCTACTTGGTCCCTTTCTCTACAGTTAAAGGCATTAAACTTTGTGAGAATTTGCTTCTGCATTCTTGCGATATAGGTCCGGTAAAATAGCCCCTCACAGTCAACTCATGAGGTGGTTCTTTCGGTCGGCTCAGCAACAGTAAAATAAAATTGCTGACTTAAAGGCTAGTAGAAGGGCTTTCCCGTTTCTCACCCTCCTACTTAGCGTCATCAGTGATCTTAATTGGTTGACAAAGGAGATTAATGTAACTTGGCAGATGTTTGAATATATTTAATATTCTCGTTAGGCCATTCTCTTACTTCTCCCATGAGATTAGGTGTTAACACAGAAGAATTGAGGAAGGCTTCCGACCTTAACAACAAAACATTCGTCACTGATGCATGATTTGCATAGAGCAGTCCAAACATTGCCTGTCAAATAGCAAACCCTTTGAGACCAATGAATGGTTATTAGTGGAAAAAGCCGTCCAAATGGTAGAGTCATGCATCGACTCTCCCCTTCTTTATTGAAGAATTTAGTTGACTAGGTGGCAGTTAACTCCGTGGAACGAGCCCACTGTATTCCTGTTGTATCGCTGTTAAAAATTATTCATATGATAACAAGTGGTTTCCATTATACTGTATGCTAAGATTAGCGCGCACTATTATGTATATTTGTAAATTTCCTAAAATGGCGACAAATATGGTGCCGTATGAGGCCATGCCACGTGCGCAGTTTGATGATAAAGAAGAGGAAGAAGTTGCCATTATTGGTACCTTCAATACCACTTTTTTCACTTTCACATGGTCATTTGGGGATTAGAAAAAAAAACTTTAGTGACCTTTTCCTGTACACCTGGAATGGTTCAATAACTCGTAAATCACATTAGAATGCAGTAATTTATTCAAAGGAATTTATGTTTTTTTTTCTGATATGTTGGAAGTGCTCTTATAACCGCTGTTTTGAGAAGAACTTCCGGCACTGTCGATACCCAGTTCTGTTTCACCGTGATCCCAAAAATCGATGGTTCCATTCAGACGTATTTGGCAGGAGTGATGATTCATACCTGGGAGTGGTTGAGAATTTGTATCTCTAACCTAATCACAAGAGCATGTTTTCGGAAAAAACAGTGCATAGGGCCTGACATTTCGGTCCAATCATCCAGTCAGCAGTGTACCTCCGAACTGCGTGTGCATACTAAGCTGTCAACACTGTCAAACCAGCAATGACAGCAGCATGTTTTGGAAATAAAGAGGAAGAGAAAGAGTAGCAATCCAGTACAATGGTAAGATCACACCTCTAGCATTAACTATTTTCATTGGTGGAAAATAGCTATTATCGAATGGGGCACGACAGGAGGAGCGCGTGATTAGGAATTTGGGTAAAGCCCGATCACGGGCGTGCGGTACTTTTCAAAGCGCACCTCCTTATTTGAGTATTGTCTGTGTTCACCACAGGTGCTCGATGCGTCATCATTGATGGATATGTACACAAGCACTTATTTCTAGAATTTCCTGTCCAACACTAGTCCTTTCACAAAACTGCAAGCCTTCCCAATGCATTTTATCGGATAGAATGAAAAGCAATTGCTAAGCGCCAGCTTGAGACCAACTGTCTCACCTGGGTGAGTAGCACAGCCCACAAGACACAAGTCAGGTATAAAGAGATGTGGTGGATAATTAAAAGACTTGTGTAAACTCACCCCATTGGTAATTAGATGTGTGAATTCAGTCCCCAATTTTTTTAGCTCAATGTATATCTTATCACACCGGAGATAAATTGCGCAAGAATGTAGCCATTTAGTTAGTGTAGCATCCCCCTCATACTTTATGGAACTAAATAATCTCGCATAGTAGAATTTGAATTTAGAAATGCACACTATAGGAAAAAAGAACAAACTTTGCTTGATGGCTGAGACAAGGCTTAAATGACAATCGTATTAGTGCAAATCCTCATGAAGAGCCATGAGTAATATTTAGAAAAGATTAAAGATATTAAAATCACCCTTGTGTAGAAAGGGTCAGGAACTTTGAAGTAATGGCCATAGTGTCCACGAGTATATTTCCCTCCAGGAATTGGACCGAGCGTGAAATGGGATGATGGTGATGACGAACCTGTCGAGAGACAGCATGAAAACATTCATTTTGGGGTTACTAGACAGGCTCTTGAGGAATAAAGATCAAATCAATGCCTCCGTCCCCTTCCCCTTGACTTGACCTACTGAGGGGGTTCCACGTGGGGAGATGAGAGCAATGGATGGAATCATTCATCACCCGGACCCATCATTTGAAGGTGAAACGAGGCTAACAGGTGGTAGACTAATTACACTTTTACGAGCGCCAGACCGAACCACCTACCTCTACTGTTTCAACTCAGTCTGAACGATATGAGGACCACATAATGTAAATAAGACATTCCTTGTTCAAGTCCCATATGCCAAACTCTTGGAAATTCCCAATTTGTCATATACAAGTAGTTTTTGTAGTTCTAGTTCTTACTTGAGTTACCCCGGCCTGCATGAATGTACCCTTGTTGATTAAAAATGCGCGTGTACTTTTAGTCACTTCGGTAAGCACCAGTTATGATACCACCCATGCTTGGATTTGACCTCTATTGTTTCATATGAATGCATTTTCTGCATAAAACACCCTAATGAGAAAGGGAAATTTTGTCAGCCGACTGAGCAAACTCGTTAAATTTTTGACGAACTTTTGTGACTGGCCAAAACAAGCAAAAGGAGAGGCCTTTTCCTTCCCCATTGATGACAACGGGGGCTGTTTTTCTTACTTCTTTTTATTCTGTTTACGCAAGGAAATTCCTTCTCCTTAGGAAAAACACAAATGCACGTAGACATTCATGCTAAGAGTTTCTATTGTGACTGACTATCATTATAAGAAATAAGAAAATCTTGTAATGTAGAATCGTGTATGATCTATCCATGGCTTGATGTGTGGAAATGTCTGATTAAAATCATAAAGCAATGCAAGGAAACGTCTGTAAGTAAGTGTTGGAGTTAATTTCAAGTCCAAATTTAAACACATAGTCGTTCAGAGTCTGCATCGTTTAAAACTTTAGCTTCTCATATTTTTTATCAATGCAAATTGTGTTTACACTCAGACTCGACGCCTGATATAATGGCTGATTTTCGCGTTCAAGCGAATTTGCAAACCCTGCGCAAGGCTAAGGTGAATTAATTGGTCAAAAGGTCATTAGAAGGGCCTAGTTCATGGCTACAGAAGGAACGTAGAGTTTAAATAGTTGAATGAATAAGAAGGCTTTTTTGCTGAAGCTAATGATTGAAAAACAAACACTTTTACACAACAGCGTAGGTCACGTTGATGTCGAATGCGTAGCGCAACCTCGTCCAATATTCCGCAACAGCATTAGAGGTTAAAGCAGATGAGTTGTCAGGAATGAAAGGATCGTGACGCGGCCTTATCTTCATGGCCTACCGGCCTAATTTTCCTAGGTGGAACAATTTGCTTCAGGCACTAGTGAAAATATATTTTCATTCTTGGTGAGACATATACAATTTAACCGGCTGGTTCAAAGCTTAACTTACCTATAAACTACAGGGCAATGTGTTTATTTTAATATAGAGCATACGCTATGTGAAAAGTAAGGTAAAAACCCGGTAACGGATTTTGAATGTGTCCTAGTTTTGCAATAATTATCCGTTCTCTTCAATTTTAGAAAGCACAAGACTTCGAAGACCCAAATTCTAAAAGACCTGTTTCCTCGAGGAAAGGATTTACTCTGTGAGTAAACGTGGGCTCTCAACTGGAAGTCAGTGCGATTTCTAGCTGCTGCAGCAGTGCAACCCGCTAGGCTCTTGCCCAATTGGAAAGCCGCTTTGATGACCTTAAGGGAACCAATCGTAATTGGCAAATTCAACGCGTGTACGAAAACCTCCTGATTAATGTGTCTACTTCCAAAAAATTGCAGGAGAAACAATTGCCTTAAAAGGTTACTTAAAGTCTGTTTATGCATAAAATATCGGCTCATAGAACTAGTCATGCATCAATTTATGCAATAGAGCCGATAACATTTGCGGTAAGCACCCAAGCCGCGGCGTTTCCACAGAATTTAAGCTGAAACCGCGTGGAGTAACGAGAGTCATTTCCAACCCATTTTACTTAAATAAAACATAGATGTGAGAAAAAGTCATAATGGTAAAACTGCAGAATTTATGAACACTTGTCTCTGAACGCTAACTAACAAACAAAATCTAGATCAAATCACACATTGAGATCTTTCATGTGAAGCCCATCAGAGGGGGGCTGTCACTCCGTTGGCTCGTTGCGGGTAATAGCGATATTTTTGCGCTGTTTGAAGGATTTTTATCGGATAAATTCGAGATGAAAGCTAACGTAGTAGGTGGGTAGATAAATGTGCACGTGACTTCCACATTAGACTCAGAAGGCTTTTGCATGGGCAAAGGAATCACGCGAGTGCAATCCTCGCTTGCTATTAGCTCTGTCCCACCTGCACGCACGACGCACACAACGCACGTATATACGCGCGCGTACGACAGTGTGACATCTATTCAAGCTTTGATTGGTCATTTTGCATGGTGTTTTTACAACAAGCAGTATGCAAGCATGTGGGTACTATTGATCGCTCCGGCCTTAGCCAATGAGGAACTCGAAACCGTTTTATAAATTAAGCGTCTAGGCAGCATTTCTATTTGCGGTAGCTTACGCTTTGGTTTTTCGGCTCGAGTTCCTCTCATGACCGAATCTCCCTTAAAAGATGGACTCCTATTATTACTTCAAGCTGCGCAGAAGATAGATCGAGGTATGCCTTCATAACATTTTTTGCCCTTCTTTTTTACATATGCCTACTACTTTCCACACATTTTACTTATTTTTTCATTTATATGTGATAGAATCTTCTAAAAGTACTTGCCATCACTCAGAGCGGTGGGATGCGCGTACTGGGTCTTCCAGACACTTCTATGCCGATGGGCCCGCACATTTCTCCTCGCCTTACTCATCTTCTATTCATAGACGAAGCGCTCCCTCCACTAGATGTACCCACAATGAGCTTGAAAAAAGCCGGTATGCACTCCTTTCAGACATCTTATAATGAAACCTTGACAGACGCGCGCATTTACGAACCTGTATGGATGCACTGAAGGAGCTCCTCGTGTTTGATGATGAAGCGCCTAGGATAACCACCCTCACAGTTTTGCGGAAGGCCACCTCGACCATTCAAGTATGTGATAGCAACTGCCTGTAGTGGTGCGAACTCACTTCAATTGCATTGTTTGACTTATAATGTTTTCCCACTTCTTCAGCAATTGCAACAACGAAATGAGTACCTTGAAGCTTGCGAGGATGGTGAAAAACAGCGATTTTCACAGCTTATGAAGCGTCGCCAGGCTCTTCGAAAAAAGATCGAATCTAAGCGCAATCGTACTCTAAAAATCCAAAATTGGCGTGAACGCAACAGGAACTACTCTGAGTGCTCGGTCTTAACGACATCTTCCGGTAAGCAGTTTGCTTATTCCCCTACATGCCTTACATTTTCTGCATAAGCTTGACTTTAGCATGTTTTAATTTTATTTGTCATCTAGCTGTAGTTGAACTAGCGTAACAGATCTCGTTTCTCTCATAGACATGTCACATGTACGCTTTTGGTGTGTTGATGCGACTGGGTTTAGGGCGGGTTTTTGTTTCACTAGTTATGTTATCGAAGGCTAACATTGACGGGTTTTTCAACTCTCCGTTGGACATACACTTAGTTGGATTGCCGCATCCATTTTTACCACAGATAAAGTTGCAAATCCCGGTTTTACAGCCAGCTTGAATCATATTATCACCTGGCTCCGAGACGCCTGGCAATAATGAGTGTCACTTCTGAAATAGCGTTTATTGTGAAACCCTCTAGGAAAATCCCATCATATCTAATCTGTCTTGATTAAATTAAGCCGCTTTCTAAGTTTAGCCTATTAATGAGGGGTTTTGTCCCATAGTTGTGCCTCTTCGACGGTGTCACTTCGATCGATGCGAAGCTCGTTTAATTGCCCCCCAACTTTTGAATTATTGCTTCCACAGCTGCTAAGTGAGCCGTCAGTATGTTTACGTCTACTTGAGGGACAGATGAAAATAGGTTTTGATTGATTTGGTATTCTTCTTTTCGCCAAAGTTCACTATTCACGTACATTTCACTAATAAATTTGAGAGGATCAAGCGTTTCGGGCGACTAGCATTTAGGTGGATTAACCCTTGCCATACTTTCGTTTATTCGTGGAGGCATGGTTTTAGGTTCCCCAGAAAGCCCACCTAAGTGTGTTCTTTGACGTGAACTTTGCTTGTGGGTAAAAGATTCTACGAACTTGCACAGTTGAACTAATTTAACTCGGTTTTGTTATTTTTCTGGTATCGAATGAGGTTAGCTGTTTACACAGGAGTTTTGATAGTGGCTTGTGTTTTCATTTCAGAGGATTCTGAGATGAGTTACGGCTCGCGCCATATACCTTCAAATATGTACAGCATTTTGCCTATTTCACACCATCAACAGCAGCAACAACTTTCTGCTAATGATAATCACTGCTACGCCTCGCCTTATGAAACCACTGCAGGTGTAGTAGCTGCAACCCCAAACTCATCGGCGACAATGGCAGCTGCAACAGTGTCTACAACGATTTTGGACTCAGTAACTACGGTAACGGCACCAGCAACGGCCACTTCAGCGGCAGTGATGACCTATGCAGCTTCCCAGACGCATCATAACCTCTCGTACCAACAGAAAGTGGAGTCACACTCTCCACAGCCATCAGGTGGAGCCCATGGGATGAGTCCAACGGACGCCTATGACGCTAGCAGCTCAGACTCAGGTTTCGAGGAGGTAATCACGGCGACAAACGCTGTCGATGAACAGCAGACTCTGAAGATGGTCCAGCCTGTTGTTTCCAACACCGAAGAAGTGGTCTACACCGCCTACCAAAGCAGTGACTGCTTCAAAGCTTACTGAATTGTGTTGGAAGTTTCCGTTTTGCCGACTTACCTCCATGTCATCCCAAGTTCATTATTCATTTTTCTCTCCTCCAAAAGAGATCTCTTTCTGGCAGCCATGAGATAAGAACACAGCCCCTGCTCTCAGTATTCCTCGTTACTGCGCGTGCTCTTGCTGGTGTGTGCGTGTGGATGATCTCAAACGAAAGGCGCAAGTCAAGATTGCACACACAAATCGATTTCGGCTCAAGTTAATACACACCTACACACACTCCTCTCCCTTCTCTCTTCCACCCCATTGTCGTTGTTTTCGTCATGGTAGTCCTACGACAAACCTATTTTATCGACATGAAAACTCACGTGCACCCACTCTCCCTCACACAGTTCTGCGTGGGTCCTACTTTGATTCCTACGAATGGATGCATTTTTCCACGTGCTTTGGTACGCACGTGTGTGCTCTAGGGTCTTCTCCCTCAAAATTTCATATCTTTCTCGCCCTCTCCTGGTCACAGTTTACCCACTATGTCCTTCTCTTCACTACTTGTAGTGAAAAGACGACAATCGCTGTTTTCACAAGCCCTCCAGCCTCGAGTGTCACTGCCTCCCCTTGTGGTTAATTTTAATGAGAGAGGCGGAAAATTGAAGCTACGTGTCTTTCAAAAGCAGTTATATGCGGCTATCATTTACCTGGGCGATTATTTTACCTTCCCCGAACCTGTTATTTCTTTTCTCGTGTGCGTGAGTGTGTAATACTAGTGTTATTTTCTCTTACCGTCTGCGCGAGATCTAAATACCCGCGGTCAGGGTTAGTTATGCCGAAATTCCTAATTCTTGCATTGTCACCTACAGAAACAGCAGCACCCATACAGGTGAAAAATACTTTACTCTTACACTCCTGCCCTCCCTCTCCCTTCTCTTCGGCACTTCTTTTCTGCTAACTTACCCTGCTGCGGGTCGATGGAGAAGAAACAAAACAGCAGTAAGAAGTCTGGTTTTATCTGTGATCGCCACTTCCGCTTTCCACCCTGTCTTCCCTCTTTCCCCTCTTGATACTTGTTTTTACCTCCCTCTCCTCTGGTCCACCCTCTGGTGTTGAGCTGTAAGCTTCGACGGTGCGGCCTGTCTAGCATACACACATCTACGTGTTGTGAAATCCATCCACGCACGTTCTCTCCCCTAGAATTGCCTCTTCCCTTCCCCCCTCTCCGATCCCAACCTGAGTGGCAGCAAACGAAAAAAATTGATGTAAATCGACTTACTTTCATCCTCCTCTCCGCTTTCTGCCCTCCCTATTTTCCCTTCCGCTTACCGCAGCAGGTCTTGTCAACTCTCCTTAGCGTTATAGGACCTTTCTCGTACTAAAAATACTACTTTCTCGCCATATCCAGTTAATGTATTTCTTTAAAGGTCAAGGCTTGTTTTTCTCTATTCCATGCCCTGTTCCTGAGTGGCAGCATCTACACCATGATTAAGTGGCGTGGCGCGAGAGCTGACCTTAATGGCGGCCATAGCTGGGACGATATTTCAAATACGAACTGCCGTCAGGCTGATCAGCTGATTGGCACGTGTTCTGCGTGAGCGTGTATTGATTTTCTGTGGGTTGGCTGATTCAGCAGTAAATTGGTTGGCGCGCGCGTCTCTGCCCATCCGTTCCGCCTGGTGACGCACAATGAAGCGTAGTCGCATGGGAATGACGGCATTATTTGCCATTTGGGAAGAGGATCGTTAGAGCACGTCGCCGTGACCCGCTCTGAGGGTAGGATGAATAAGTAGTTAGAAATACAATCCTGGTTCTATGGTTCAAGTTTGGGAAATCTGAGATGCCGCAGCTTCAGCGCGGGGCTGGTTTTACACCGGCTGCATGTCTTGACATGGCCCTTGGTCAATGACTTATTTGGGTCGGTGCTCGGATGTGTGCTGAGGTTATAGTTTGTAGGGATTCAGTTAACCTAAAGGATTAGCCATTTGAGTGACGTGGGGAGGTTTCGCTCGTGTGATCAGTAATTTGGTAATGATCAAAGTGCGCAACTAATGGCCTCGAAGTGGCTCTTCGGATTGGCAAAATTCTACTCCACACGAGTACAAGGCTTGTAAAAGTGATATCCCTAGTTTTGGGTTTGTATTCAAAGCTGACTGATTAGCCAAGCAAATTCTCTCTGAGTGTAAGCGCTTGTGCGCTTGTATATGTGTGCGTATCGAACAGCAAAAATGGCCTCTTAAGTAAACACACTGACATAGTTTCGTTACTTACTGACAAAGCGTCTGCGGCATTCTCATGAGTAGATGGTGTTACGTTGAATAATGGAATCTGTGTGGGCGTGTCTATGCGATCTTAGCCTCACACTCCCTCATTTCATACACACTACTCGCCGAGTTGTCATTTTAGCCAGAGCGATACATGACTATGCAAATTAAGCATGCCACATATGTGGTCTCGTGAAAACATGATAGCGTCTCCATAATTTAAAAGTCGCCATTATTCATACCTTAAGATTTTAGCAAACCATTACTTGGTAGGCAAAGTTAAGAAGTGACTTCCTGAATCAGCACAAGGCGTCATCTATACGCCACATAAATCAATTATAAGTGTAAATGTTAAAATGGTGAACCGATGAAAACGAGAAGTGGTCTTTGAGCTTGGGATAATCTATGTTCATGAGTAGACCGAATATCAATCAAATACGTATGATTTTCAGTATAGGTCGTGGGTGAGAATAAAATCTAGAATGTTCATAATACGTGTAGACGATATAACAGATGGGATAAAAAACATTTCAAATAAATACTAAACCGGAACGATAATGCCAGTGTTTTAAAGGATGAAGCAATGAAGCGGGGGAGGGGATATTTTACAGCCCAAAATTTCCCTATTTCTGATTGTGTAAAACAATAAGAAGGTAATTTTTTGGATTCATTTAGAGAAGACTATAGCTACCCGAGACTTCCCTGAGGACGAAAGAAGACATAATACTCGGACAGTAGGGCTCGGGGCTGCTGGCATGGCCCAGAAGCCAGTCCACCCGGCGAAGGTACAATGGTGGGGACTCAAAGTGGCCCTTTTTCCAAAACCAAGAGTTAAGCAGCCGAAGTATTACAAATATATACATATATATATAGCCCTTCTAATAATTGTTAAATCTTGGGCACTGATTGCTAAAACTAGGGGCCTAAAGTGCGCAAGTCAACAATCTCGCACGCGTATTATGAAAATACGCAAAAACAAAGTTCAAACGGACTAACATCAATCATCCGTCTTTTTCATAATTCCCAGCTCTGTCAGCAGCCTGTACAGCTGGGCAGGACAAAAGAAGCGTGTACCACGGCTTTCCCGTCGCACAGTTCTCCTTCCCTCGCTTGTTAGCACATTTCTTGGTGTACTTTTGTTCAGAAACAGGATACTATACCACACAGATGTAATATTTTTATTGATCGTGAGTGTGGTTAAGAGGTTATTTAAATATTGCCAGAGGACCTGTTCAGATGAGTGAATCTGCCTAAAACTGCTTTGTGTGAGGTTTTTGGGATCAGTGTAATCTCAGCCTGGCAGCTATTAATATTTCCTTTGCTTTGTTTTCTATTTTGGTCGTCAAAAATGGTATTTGATATTGCTTTGCAGTATAATGAACTTAGGAATGATTCTGAATAAACTTTAATAGTTTTAAGTTATTGAGATTTCAACCACGGCTTAATGACTGCCACCTGGTGTTGATGAAATCGCCACACTTCGTTTCGTTGAGGTGAATGTCAGCTGTACGAGTGATTCGAATTGCTCTACTTTTATAACAATTCAAAAACGTACCCGTTTGTATGTTTACGTTGGTATTGGCAAAAGTTCGATTGTTATGTTTTTTTGTTTCGATCCGTACCGTGTGATGCCTCTAGATTTCGGACAATAAAACAAAGGGTCTCCAGCCTGTGTGATGCCGGGGTGTGTGTGTGTGTGAACATGGTAACGAGAGGCTCCTAATTGTCATAGTGGTCTGGTCCAATCGATATAACGTCACAAAGCAGTGTGTTTTGCACCATGGGCATCGCGACTGCTACAAGTTCTCGGGTTGAAAAATCTTACGCTGTGAAAGTAAACGGTTCCCACCTCTTTAAAGGCTCTCTGTACATGCTATCATGCCCTGAAAGTAACTACGATCTGACTACCTCTAAACAGGTACCCTAAGGTCAACGACGCGTTGGTCATAAAATGGCACACGAGTTTACCTCACACTCGATGACATAGATCGGCCTACTATGGGTAACCATTGAAATAAACCCTGCCCTTGGCACGTGCTAACTTATCCCACAAACGTTTAATTTGAAAATGTATACATTAACTGCACACGATACCTGTATCACGGCATTTGATCGATTTTCGACCGCACCAACCGGTATGAAGTAGCTGAATCCTACCAGTTTCTGCAGTTCATAATTTTCTCATCCATTGCACTCTGCTCCACAAGACCTATCCGAATTTGTGCTCATGGAGTGTCTCCTCAGAAATTCCCACACTTTGAATTATGACACGTATATGCAGTGCGAAGTCACTTTCTTCGGTTCCTTTTACCTGAAAATGACCTTATTCGCCTTCTACAAGCGCCAAATTATTTACCAGTGATATCTATTTGGCTTTCTCCTTAAGAAAAATACCTAACTTCAGTTTCATTAATCCACAAAAATATGGTAAAAACAGGTGACCCGCAGATATGAACACTTAACTGGCTTGGAGTTGTCAAGTTTCTTTGCCTGAAATTCGCAAATGTGATGGACTAAAGTACATTTAATAACGAAAGAATATGTCTTCGGTTATTTTAATCAGCTAAGGCCGCGAGGTGAAGACTCAGCATAATATCCACGCCATAATTAATTTATTCGACCTCCTCTTAGTGACCTCAGGGATATCCACCCCGAGATATGCGTGCCTTTTCTTCCCTTGGGCTTAATCGAACATGTCCAGTAACACTTAATTCCACTAAAGGTAGAGGTCCATTCCTACACCGTACATTATGGGGAGAAATAATAACCGGTGTA